TCACCTTCCCAGCCTCCTGAGGTTATTTTTGTAAAGGCTGGCACTCTGCCATTGAGCCACAACACCACTTCTGGCTTTTTCTGAGTAGTTTATTGGAGATAAGAGTTTTTATAGACGTTGATGCCTGGGCTCGCTTTGAGCAACGATCCTCAGATCTCACCCTCCTGAGTGGCTAGTTTTACAGGCAGGAGCCACCAGTGCCCAGTTTAGACTAAGAGTTTTAAATGCAATCTTTACTGCAGGCCAGGCAACAGGAGTTAAGGTTCTTTGGAGCTTCAGAATTGCAAAACCTCTAGTGTCACTATAACTCTTCCTTTTGTTAAATTAAGAAAAAGTATTCTTTGTATCTATTAGAAATGGAAGTTTAAATTCTACCACTTTGTCTATTAACATAAAACTAGCAGAAAGTAAAATTGAGAGAATTTTTAACTACAAAGATTCTGGCAGTATCTACAGGGAATATTTTTAAATTTTAGGTGAGGAAGAATAATAAATACAAAATGTGTGAACTGGGCTGGGAAGGTGGCTCAGTGGTAGAGCGCTTGCCTTGCATGCCTGAGGCCCTGGGTTTGATTCCTCAGCACCATATAAGCAAAAAGAAGAAAGCCGGAAGTGGCACTGTGGCTCAAGTGGTAGAGCACTAGCCTTGAGCTGAAGAGCTGAGGGACAGCGCCCAGGCCCAGAGTTCAGGCCCCATGACCGGACCCAAAAACAAAAAATGTGTGAACTTTATCTGTAGCTGAGTAAACTCATACTTTTTGTTTTTGGTCGTGGGGTCTGAACCCTTGGCCTGGGCACTGTCCCTCAGCTCTTCAGCTCAAGGCTAGTGCTCTACCACAATGCAACTTCTAGCTATTTCTGCTTATGTGGTGCTGAGGAATCGAACCCAGGGCCTCATGCATGCAGGGCAAGCGCTCTACCACTGAGCCACCTTCCCAGCCCACTCTCATACTTTTTAAGGATCTGAGCTTATAGGTAGTAGATTGGGTGCCTAGAATGTTGGAGGAACTGGGTTCCCTAGCACTGCAAGGAGAACAAAAGAACAGAACAAAACCTTTTTTTCTTGTTGGTTGTGAGGCTTGAACTCAGGACCTGGGCTCAGTCCCTGAGCCTCTCTGTGTTTAAAGCTAGCGCTCTACCACTTGAGCCATAGTGCCACTTTTGGCTTTTTCTGAGTAGTTTATTGGGCTGGCTTTGAACTGTGATCCTCAGATCTCAGCCTCCTGAGTAGCTAGGATTACAGGCATGAGCCATCAGCACCTGGCTCCCATTTAAATTTTAATAGTTACTGTTGTAAGTCTAGAGTCTAGACTGGTAGCTATGAATTTTTTTTTTGGCCAATCATGGGACTTGAACTCAGGGCCTGGACACTGTCCCTGAGCTTCTTTTTTGCTCAAGGCTTGGAATCTACCATTTGAGCCATAGCACCACTTCTGGTTTTTCCTGTTTATGTGGTACTGAGGAATTGAACTTGGGGCTTCATGCATGCTAGGCAAGCATTCTACCACTGAGCCACATTCCTGGCCTTAGCCATGAAATCTTTTGTGTGTCTTTTCAATTCTTTTTTTGGTTCTGAGACAGAGACTAAAACTTGGTACCTGACACATTGCTCATTGTTTGCCTCTCTACCATTAGAGCCATTTCTCCAACCCCTCGTTTTATTCTTACAAAATAAAAAGTAAAGTATCTGTCACATACAAAATTTGCAGGTCTGTCAATAGCAAATATTGTGAAATAATTGTTACTTGAAATGTGTTCCTTTTCAATAAGAGTCATACATTTTACATGGTTTATGTTTTACCTCTTTTTTTCCTAAGATCTCAGTGGCTCTATAGCATCCTCAGATGTCAAATTAAACCTCGGTGGTGATTTTATCAAAGAATCCACAGCTACTACATTTCTGAGACAAAGAGGCTATGGCTGGCTTTTGGAAGTTGAAGATGATGATCCTGAAGATAACAAGCCACTTTTGTATGTAAAAAATAATATATATGTATATTTGGTTTAAAATGTAATTTGTGGGATGTTGACATTCTTTAATGTTTTATTTAAAACTTTGTGGGAGATTTAATAACCTATGTGCTAAAAATCTATAAGAATTTTCAGAATTAACTAATAATTTAAAAACCTGAACCATTAATCTCTTTTTTAAACCTTTAGAATGACCAGAATTAAAAGAATGGTAATCATGTACTATGCACACACACATAGAAAATTTACTCCTGACTGTTTATCTGCATATCAGCTATCTCAAGTGATCTTGCAATTCTTGGGCTGGGAATGTGGCTTAGTGATAGAGTGCTTGCTTAGCATGTATGAAGCCCTGGGTTCGATTCCTCTGTACCACGTAAACAGAAAAAGCTGCAAGTGTCACTGTGGTTCAAGTGGCAAAGCGTTATCCTTGAGCGACAGTGCCCAGGCCAAGTTCAAGCCTCTGGACTGGCAAAAAAAAGCAAATCTTTTGGTGTTTACAATTCATATTAAGGTTTAAAACTAAGGTTTTGCCAGGCACTAGTGGCTCATAACTATAGTTATAGCTACTCAGGAGGCTGAGATCTGAAGATCTCACAATTTGAAGCCAGAGTGGGCAGGAAAGTGTGTGATACTCTTATCTTCATTTAGCCACCAAAGAGTTCAAGCAGTAGAATATTAGCCCTGAGCATAAAAACTCAGGGACAGTGGCCAGGCCCTGAATTCAAGCTCCAAGACAGGCACTCATACACCCACCCATAAGATTTCCAAAATTGTGTATGTGTGTGTTGATACTAAAGCTTGAACTCAGAGTCTGAGCACTGTTTGTAAGAATGTGTATGTATAATTTTCTTTGTGGTTCCATGAAGCAAAAGTAGATGGTGATACATTCCTATAATCCCAGCTGTTATATGAAGACTAAATTAAGCAGACTGAAGTCTGCGTACCCGGGCAGAAAGTGAAACCATATCTCAAAATAACCAGCAGAAAAAAAAGGGGGGGGGGAGAGAGAGAGAGACTGTTTCCTTAATGTAAGGATTAATGAGAAATAATCCCACATATAGAGCATCTAGGACAATTTCTCAATTTGGCACTTGGTTGTACGTTTGAAGATAAAAATTTCCCCTTAGAATAAAAGCCCCACACTGGCTTTCCTTTAGATTTACAGTCTGAATTACCAGTATATTTCCAAAAAGTCTGAAGCAGAAATTTTGGTATTTTCTGGGGATCTTCTGTTTGTTTGACATTTGCTGGAGCTTAAATTTAGTGCTTCATGCTTATTACTCGTCAAGGGCTCTACCATTTGAGTTATGTCCCCAGTCCTTTTTACCTTAGTTTTTTTTTTCTTCTCCTGGATAGGATCTTGCATTCATGCACAGGGTCAGCAGCGAACTGCATCTTCCTAATTTCCATTTCCCAAGTTGCTGAGAGTATAGTATAGAACGTGCCAACACACCTGGCTTTACTTTCTTTGCCTATTTTTTCCCTTTTTTTTTTTTCTTCTTCCTTGTGCTAGTACTGGGGCTTGAACTCAGGGACTTGTGCTCTGGCTTAGTTTTTTCTGCTGGTGCTTTACTATATATACCTTTTCATTTTTATTTTTACTGATTAGAGGGGAGGCAGGGGCTGGGAAGGTGGCTCAGTGGTAGAGTGCTTGCCTCGCATGCATGAGGCCCTGGGTTCAATTCCTCAGCACCACATAAGCAGAAAAGGCCAGAAGTGGCACTGTGGCTCAAGTGGTAGAGCACTAGCCTTGAACTGAAGAGCTGAGGGACAGAGCCCAGGCCCAGCGTTCAGGCACCATGAATGACTAAATAAATAAATGTTTCTCACATTTGTGTTTGAACCTTGATCCTCAAATCTCAGCCTCCTCAGTAGGTAGGATATAGGTATGAGCCACCAGATTCTGCTCTCTTCCTCCTTTCCTCTCTTCCTCCATCCCCCACTCCTTTCTTTCATTTGGTATCAGTCCTGGGGCTTGAACTCAGGGCCTGGCACTGTCCCTGAGCTTCTTTTGCTCAAGGCTTGCACCATTTGAGCCTCAGCACAGCCGTTTCTGTGTATGTGGTACTGAGGACTCGAACCCAGGGCTTCATGCATGCTAGGCAAGCACTCTACCACTAAGCCACATTCTCAGCCTTCTAAGACTTTTTTTTGTCAGTTAATTGGAGATAAGAATCACATGGATTGTCTAGTCCTACGCTGACTTTGAACCATAATACTCAGATCTTAGCCTCCTGCGTAGTTAGGATTACAGGTCAGAGGTACTGGAGCCTAACTTTATTATTTAATTTTATTTATTTACTTATTTATTGTGCTGGTTCTGGGACTTGAATTCAGGGTGTGGGTGCTGTCCCTGAGCTTTTTGTGTCCAAGGCTAGTGCTCTAGCCACAGCTCCATTTCTGCCTTTTTAGTGTTTTAACTGGAGATAAGAATCTCACAGACTTTCCTTCCCAAGCTGGCTTTGAACTACAATCCTCAGATCTCAGCCTTTTGAATATGGTATGAGCCACCAGCACCTAGCTAATTTTAAATTTTTTCTGTCACTACCAGAGCCTGAACTTAAGACTTTGTGCTTGCTTGACTTGCTTGCTTCTCTGGCACTCTACCACTCTACTACTTAAGCCATACCTATATAAATTTTTTTGCTAGTTATTTTAGTCTCATGGACTTTTCTGCCCAGATTGGCTTTGAACCATGATGCTTTGGATCTGATCTCAGCCTTCTGAGTAGCTAGGAGTATAGGTGTAAAACACTAGCATCCATGCTTGCTTGTGTAGAGACAGGGTCTACTCTGTGACCCGTGCTGGCCTTGAGCTCACTGTGTAACCTAGGATGGCCTAAAACTTTCCCATCTTCCTGATTCTACCTCCCAAGAAGTAATTTGTATTTAAATTTCATTGAGATTTGTTTTAAATTGATAGTACCTCCAGAAGATTGGCAAAAGGAAAGAAAGACAGATCTGGGATGTATTTGGCCTAACAACAATTTAAAACAGTAACAATTGTGAGATCTACCTAAATTTAGAGATGATGAAATGTTGAAACATCTCTAAAGTTGGACTAGTTTCCTTGTGAATCAGTAAATATGGTACTTCACGTGCTTGCATTTTGTTGACCTATGATATCATATTGTCATATTTAAACTTTTAGGTTCTTTTGAAACTTTTAGTATTCAAAACTATATGTATTTTGAGAATTTTTATTTTAAAATTATAGGGAAGAATTGGATATTGATCTGAAGGATATCTATTACAAAATCCGATGTGTTTTGATGCCAATGCCATCACTTGGTTTTAATAGACAAGTGGTGAGAGACAATCCTGACTTTTGGGGTCCTCTGGCAGTTGTTCTTTTCTTTTCCATGATCTCATTATATGGACAGTTTAGGGTAAGTAAAGCTTATTTTATGTAAATTCAAAATCTTTTGAGTTTAAAAATCTGTAATCAAATATTCTTAATATTAGTATATTATATCTGAGAAATGTTTTGTCTTGTGTATTACTAAAACTGTTGTATAATAAATGAGGAGTATCTTAGATTGGTGCTTTCAAGTTTTCTATATTGTCATTCATAGAAGTTTTAATATTTGTATGGCACTGATGTAAATAGATGGAAGTAGTCCCATCTGACTGAATGTGAGAATGGCCAGGAGTGCTCAGAATTGCTGCTCATTTTCTTCTAACTCCCCAAGAAATGAAGACTTTGAAATCTAATGTGTAATGTATAATTATGTGGTTTTTTTTTTTTTTGTCCAGTCGTGGGGCCTGAACTCTGGGCCTGGACGCTGTCCCTTAGCTCTTCAGCTCAAGGCTAGCACTCTACCACTTGAGCCACAGCGCCACTTCTGGTTTTTTCTTTTTTGCTTATGTGGTGCTGAGGAATCGAACCCAGGGCCTCATACATGCAAGGCAAGTGCTCTACCACTGAGCCACCTTTCCAGCCCATAATTATGTTATTTCCTTTATTTTTCTGGTGCTGGTATTAGAGCTTGAATTTAGGGACTGAGCATTGTCCCTGAGCTTTTTTTGCACAGAGCTGGTGCTCTACCACTTGGGACTTTACTGCCCAGGCTAGCTTTGAACTGTGATCCTCAGATCTCAGCCTCCTTAGTAGCTAAGATTTCAGATGTAAGCCACCAATACCCAGCCCTTTTATTCAGTTTTAATTTTGTTTTTTAATTCAACACTTCTTTTCATAAATGATGACAAGGATTCTATTAATTTTTTTATTTACTACTGATATTTTAGTCACTTTATCATGCTCTCACGTTTTTTTTTTTTTTATCACACAAACACAAGATATATGTAGCACTCTTTCATTCCCAGTTTCAGACTAAAGGGAGTATGAAATAACTTTACTGTAAGGGATTAGGAAATTAATTAATTTGTTGTTACGACTGTAGTGAATAGCTATACAAATTCCACAACACAAACATGTATTTCAGAGCCAGGAGCTGTAGCTCACACCTGTAATCTTAGGGACTCAAGGAGGCTGAGATCTGAGGATCACGATTCAAAGCCAGCACAGTCAGGAAAGTCCTTGACACTCATCTCCAATTAACTACCAGGTGCTTTGATTCAAAGTACTAGAACGTTAGCCCTGAGTGAAAAAGTTCAGAGACAGTACCCAGGCCCTGAGTTCAAGCCCAATGACAAAAAAGTATTTCAGCAATATATTACAACAGTACAACTCCATCCTATTTTCATTGTTGTTGGTGGTTGTGGGCTTTAAACTCAGGGCCTGGAACTCAAGCCCTGAGTGTTGTCCGTTAGTTCTTTTGCTCAAGGTTAGCCCTCTACCACTTTGAGCTACAGCTCCACTTCTGGTTTTCTTGTAGTTAATTGGAGATGGGATTCTCACAGACTTTCCTGCCTGGACTGTGTTTGAACCGCAATCCTAAAAATTTCAGTCTCCTGAGTAGCTAGAATTACAGGTATGAGCCTGACTCCATCCATCCTGTTTTTGAGAACTTTTTTCCTTTGATTCCACAAAATCTTTGCAAACTAATCTTCTCTTTTTTTGCTGCCCTAGTTCTATAAGCAACCATTTCTTAGTCCCTTTAGTTAAAAATACTTTGAGGTCTGGGAAGGTGGCTCAGTGGTAGAGTGCTTGCTTTGCATACATGAGGCCCTGGGTTCGATTCCTCAGCACCACATAAGCAGAAAATGTTGTAAGTGGTGCTGTGGCTCAAGTGGTAGAGTGCTAGCCTTGAGCTGAGGAGCTGAGGGACAATGCCCAGGCCCAAAGTTCAAGCCCAACACCGACACAAATATATATAGAGAGAAAGACAGACAGACAGAGTTAGAGACAGAGAAACTAAGATCTAGGCAATCAGTCTTTGTTTTCATAGTGAAATGTTATTTGTAGAACCTTGGGAAGACAGACTTTTAAATATTTACCTTTCTCATTAAACTAAGCCTGAGGAATTAAAATTACCTGAAAGGTATTCCATATTCTATTATAAAATGTGTATTAGAGTGTTTCAAAGATTTCCAGAAGCCAGGTGCTGGTTGCTCACATCTGTAATCCTGGCTATTCAGGAGGCTGAGATCTGAGGATCAAGGTTCAAAGCCAGCCTAGGCACGGAAGTCCATGAAACTCTTATCTCCAATAAACCAACAGAAGACCGGAAGTGGCACTGTGGCTCAAGTGGGAAAGTGCTAGGCTTGAGCTGAAGCGCTGAGGGACAGCGCCCAGGCCCAGCGTTCAAACGCCATGACCGACCCAAAAAAAAAAAAAAAGACTTCCAGAGCAGATTGTCAATCTGCTCTATATCTGCAAATGCTGTACAGTTTTATATACATTCACAATGTTCTTTTGCTGCTGCCTTCTAGATAATTTATTTTGCAATACATTACTGCAGTTGTAAATAACATGTACTATAACTACACTTTCAGTTATGTGTAAAGAAATTAATGAATTTTAAAAAAAGAATGACTTTGGCTAGATACCGGTGGCTCATGCCTGTAATCCTAGCTACTCAGGAGGCTGAGATCTGAAGATCATGGTTCAAAGCCAGCCTAGGCAGGAAAGTCCAGGAGACTCTTATCTCCAATTAATCACCAGAAAACGGGAAGTGGCACTGTGGCTCAAGTGGTATAGTGCTAGCCTTGAACTGAAGGGTTGAGGGACAGCGCCCAGGCCCAGAGTTGAGGCCCCACAATCAACAACAATAGCAAAAAGTTTTCCGTGAAGTGTGCTATAACGGAAGGGATTGGTACTAAATACTTTTTACTTTTAAAATTTTTTATTATATATATATCTTGAACTACTAATGTTTATTTAGGTAATTGATACTTTATTTTCAGTTTGGTTATGCAATTGTATTACACACTGCAATTTTTTTTGTGTGTGTATTGGTCTTCAGGCTTAAACTCAGGGTCTGGATGATGTCCCTCAGGGTTTTTTTTTTGGGGGGGGGGTCCGGTCGTGGGGCCTGAACTCTGGGTCTGGGCGCTGTCCCTCAGCTCTTCAGCTCAAGGCTAGTGCTCTACCACAATGCAACTTCTAGCTATTTCTGCTTATGTGGTGCTGAGGAATCGAACCCAGGGCCTCATGCATGCAAGGCAAGCGCTCTACCACTGATCCACCTTCCCAGCCCCCCTCAGGTTTCTTGTTTAAGGCTAGTACTCTACCACTTAAGCCATGGCTCAGTTTCTGGCTTTGTGGTAGTTAATTTGACAGCTTTATAGACTGTCCTACTCAGGCTATCTTCAAATCATGATTCTTAGATATCAGACTTCTGAGTAGCTAGGATTACAGGCTTGAGCTGCCAATGCCGGACCATACTACATTCTTACCAAGTGTACTGGAGAACTGATGTTACCTCTGTTTTCTGAAATTGGGTATGTCAACATTGTCATAAATGATAGAATATAGAATTCCTGAAAAATTATCACCTTGTTGAGTAGCATAAAAAATTTGTTTTCCCCTTTTAGGTGGTCTCATGGATTATAACCATTTGGATATTTGGGTCACTGACAATTTTCTTACTGGCCAGAGTTCTTGGTGGAGAAGTAAGTAGTTAATTCACAAAGCTGCTTTTGTTTGTTATAAGCTTTACTGCAGGTACTCTCTCACTAAGAGTGGCCATTATAATGTTTCTTATGCCAGAATTGCTTTTAAGTTATATTAGTTCCTTTCTTTTCCTTTTTTTTTTTTTAATTGGTCATGGGTCTTGAACTCTGAGCCTGGGCGCTGTCCCTCAGCTCTTCAGCTCAAGGCTAGCACTCTACCACTTGAGCCACAGCACCACTTCTGGTTTTCTAGTGGTTAATTAGAGATAAGAGTGTCATGGGGGCTGGGTAGGTGGCTCAGTGGTAGAGTGCTTTCCTTGCATGCATGAGGCCCTGAGTTTTATTCCTCAGTACCACATAATCAGAAAAAGCCAGAAGTGGTGCTGTGGCTCAAGTGGTAGACCACTAGCTTTGAGCTGAAGAGCTGAGGGACTGGGCCCAGCCCCAGAGTTCAGTCCCCATGACCGGCCAAAAAAAAAAAAAAGTAAAGAGAAAAGGAAAGATACCATCCTTTATCAAATAATGTACTGCTTTTGAGGAAGCATACAATGGTTACAACAGTTCTCAAGTAGACTTAGATATTTTCTTATATATTTTTATTTTGTCAACATATGTTCCTAGGCAATATAATTTAGCCATCTTTCATCTCAAATTTTTTTCCACAGTAAGCCTGGATGGCGTTTCTCCTACTTAAATTTCCACATAGCTGGAATGACAGATTTTGCCCACCACTTTCAGCTTTCTTGCTTTTTTGCCTAGGCTCCTATAGAACTGTGATGGTCCTGCTCTCCACTTTGCAAGTCTAGCTGGGATTACAGGCTTGAGTCACCACACTTTGTATTTTGTGTGTGCGTTTGTGTGTGTGCTTGTGTACTTGTATGCTTGTGTTTTGGCAAAACTGAGGTTGGAACTCAAAGTCTCATGTTTGCTAGGCTGCCACTCTTCCAGCCCCCATGCCCTCCTCCCCTTTTTGGGGGGTCAGGGTCTCACTACGTAGCCCAGGCTGGCCATCCTTGAAATCAAGATCCTTGTTTCTCAGACTCCTGTGTGCTGGGATTATAGACACATGCCACCAGGCATGACTTCTTTCCCTTCCTTTTTAATGGAATTTCAAGAGGAAGTAATAATTGGATGTATATACCCGATGCAACATCTTAACCTAAAAGCAAAATAAATTTAGAGTAACATCTATAAAAACTGTTCTTCACATATGGCAGATTGCTTTGTTTTGTTTCATTTTGTTTTGAGATAGATTCTTCAAAGTCTCACTGTCTATCCCAGCCTGCCCTAAAACTTGTTACCCATTTGAGCTTCTTGAGTACTAGGACTACAGACCTAAGCTATCACACTCCCCTGGAATTCTTAAATCTTTTTTTTGTTGTTGTTGGCCGGGGCAGGGGGGGGGGGGTTGAACTCTGGTCCTGGGCGCCGTCCCTGTGCTCTCCAGCTCAAGGCAAACACTATCTCTTGAGCCACAGCGCCACTTCCGGTTTTCTAGTGGTTTATTGGAGATAAGAGTCTCACAGACTTTCCGGGCCCGGGCTGGCTTTGAACCGTGATCCTCAGATCTCAGCCTCCTGAGTAGTTAGGACTACAGGTCTGAACCACCTATGCCCGGCTCTTAAATAATTCTTATTCTTATATCCTAGACATATTTTTAACCTGATATATAAAAATATGTTTTGCTACTGTGATAAATAGAATAAGCCGGGCGCCGGTGGCTCATGCCTGTAATCCCAGCTACTCAGGAGGTTGAGATCTGAGGATCCTGGTTCAAAGCCAGCCCGGGCAGGAAAGTCTATGAGACTCTTATCTCCAATAAACCACTAGAAAACCGGAAGTGGCGCTGTGGCTCAAGCGGTAGAGCGCTCACCTTGAACTGAAGAGCTGAGGGACAACGCCCAAGCCCAGAGTTCAAGCCCCATGACCGACCCAAAAAAAAAAATAGAACAAAAATGATATAAAATTCTGGAGTTTAAGCAGAAATGGGGCTAGAGATACAGATTTGAGCAGTTGGCAAACTGATACTAAATGAAATCATGGCAGTTTGTGAAGACCCAGGAACATGATGGACTATGATAATTTGAAATATAGTGGGTATGATACATTAATTTCTTAGTTCTCATGCTAAGATACATACAATAAAGAATACATGATATTGATAATGATTAACATGAATACTGTGATTCCTATAATACTTACTTAAAATTTTGAAAATTCACAGGTTGCATATGGCCAAGTTCTTGGAGTTATAGGATATTCATTACTTCCTCTCATTGTCATAGCCCCAGTACTTGTGGTGGTTGGATCATTTGAAGTGGTATCTACACTTATAAAAGTAAGTTGTGTAGTATGAATTATATAGTTTACTTTTTTCCAGTAGTGAAACTATACTTGTCATCCAGATAAGAATAGCATGATCCAAAACTATTTATCAAGTTGTTGATAGTGTTTTGGAACAGTAAACTTGCTTACTGATTTTTACCAAGTATATTTTGTTAATTTGTTTATTTATTTTTGTCAGTCGGGGCTTGAACTCTGGACCTGGGCACTGTCCCTGGGCTCTTTTGCTCAAGGCTAGCTAGTGCTCTACCACTTGTGGTTTTCTGGTGGTTAATTGGACATAAGAGTCTCCTGGACTTTGCTACACAGGCTGGCTTTGAGCTGCAATCCTCAGATCTCAGCTACCTGAGTAGTCAGGATTATAGCCGTGAACCACTGGTGCCCAGCAATGTTTCCTTTTAGAATTGGGCATCAAATATTAAAGGATGTAGGTTTTAGTACTAATCCTGAATTCAAATCCTTGTTCTGCCCTTTTTAGTGTGTGTGTGTGTGTGTGTGTGTGTGTGTGTGTGTGTGTGTGTGTGTGTGTGTGTGTGTGTGTGTGTGTGTTTTCCTGGGGCTTGAACTTGGGGCTTAGGTGCTGTCTCAACATTTTTTTGCTCACAGCTAGTTCTCTACCAGTTGAGTCACAGCTCCACTTCCAGTGTTGTTCTTACAGTTTCTTAACTACTATGTTTTCCAGTGTTTCCTAGTGTTTGTTGTGAAAATTTTAAAGAATGTGTGCCTAGTGCATACATAATGCTTGGCACAGAGTAACTACAACTATTACTTGAGTGCCTACTATAAATATACAGGATTATTTTGAGGTCATCATTGTATGTTTGAACACTAAGTCAAACCTCCAGTTCCCAATCTGATCACTTGTGCAATAAGAAAAAAGTCAGGTGCCAGTGTGTCATGCCTATAATTCTAGTTACTTGGAAAGTTGAAGCTACTTAGGAAGTTGAGATCTTAGTATCAAGCTCAGAGCCAGTCTGGCCAGAAAATAATTATTCAGGAAATTCTTACTTCCAATTAGCCAACAAAAAGCTATAAGGTATGGTTCAAATGGCAAAGCACCAGCCATGAGCAGGAAAGATAAGCAAGATTGTAAAGCTCTAGAGTTCTAGCCCCAGTACTGGCACATGTGATCACACACTTGGGCATGCACACACACCCAAGAAATATACAATCCATATCAAGTGCTTTTATTTCACATTAAATCCTATAATATCTCAGTCAAACCATTTAGAACAAAAAAATCTAATCAAGGTGAACAAAAGGAATTAGATTATAATTTTATTTCATGCATATTCTTACACTTTTTTGTATGCCTGGATTACTACTTTGTGGAGTTTCTTTTCCTTTTGATAAAAGAATAGTAGAAAGTTAGACCATCCCAAATACATTTTGAGTCAGTCTTCCAGTATCCATTTTTTTCAACTCTATACTAATGTTTTTTTCTGAACTGAAGTCACTTTTGCTCCCCCTGGGACATCTGTCAATGTCTAGATGAATATTTGAGTCACAGAGCAGGGAGAGGGTATTATTTGCAAGGATGCTGCTAAACATTCCACAGTACACAGAAAACTCTCAAAAAACAAAAAACAGGGGCTGGGAAGGTGGCTCAGTGGTAGAGCGCTTGCCTTGCATGCATGAGGCCCTGCGTTCAATTCCTCAGCACCACGTAAGCAAAAGAAAAAAAAAGCTGGAAGTGGCGCTGTGGCTCAAGTGGTAGAGTGCTAGCCTTGACCTGAATTGCTGAGGGACAGTGCCCAGGCCCAGAGTTCAGGCCCCACGACCGGACCCCCTCCCCGCAAAAAAAAGAAAAGAAAAAGCAAAAAACATTCAGCATAAAGATATCAATATTTCTGGACCTTGGTGGCTCACACCTGTCATCCTAGCTATTCAAGAGGCTGATATCTGAGGATTGCAGTTCAAAGGACTAGCAAAAAAAAAAAAGATGTGTTTCAAGTCAGTTTCTATTTTAAGTTTTTTTGGTTTTTGTTTTTTTGTTGTTTTTTTTTGGTCAGTCATGGGGCTTGACCTCTGGGCTTGGGCGCTGTCCCTCAGCTCTTCAGTTCAAGGCGAGCGCTCCACCGCTTGAGCCACAGCACCACTTCCGGTTTTCTAGTGGTTTATTGTAGATAAGAATCTCACAGACTTTCCTGCCCGGGCTGGCTTTGAACCATGATCCTCAGATCTCAGCCTCCTGAATAGCTAGGATTACAGGCAGGAGACACCAGCGCCTGGCTGTTTTTTGTTTTTGACAGTCCTGGGGTTTGTACTCAGAGGTTGGGCACTGTTCCTAAGCTTTGTTTGCTCAAGGCTGCATTCTACCACTTAGAGCCACAGCTTTACTCCTAGGTTTTTTTCAGTGGTTTTTTGGAGGTGAGACTCTCACAAACTTTCCTAGCCAGGCTGGTTTCAAATGGCAATCCTCAGATCTCAGCCTCCTGAATAGCTAGGATTACAGGTGTGAGCCACCAGGCCCCAGCTTGCCTGATTTTTTTTCTGGGAATTTCTTCCCTTATTTTATGCAGCAAAATGTGTTCAGTAACTTTGTTTTATAAGTACTAGGTTTCCAGTGAAATTAATTTAAAATTAAGTATGTGTATTATTAGAATAACACACTGTATTTTATTTATTAAACTCTTGACCAAGATGTGATTTTTTTTCCTCCTTTTTATTGCACTTTGTGTTATATATTTCTAAAAACATAAAAAAAGTAGTGTCGGATTAGGTAGCTTATGCCTGTAATTTTAGCTGCTCAAGAGGCTGAGATCTGAGGATCCTGGTTAAAACCTGCCTAGACAGGGAAGCCCATGGGACTCTTCATCTCCAAATAACCACCCCAAAACCAGAGGTGGAGCTGTGGCTCAAAATGGTAGATCCCTTAGCCTTGAGCAAAAATGCTCAAGGCCTTGAGTTCAAGTCCCAGGACTGACAAAAGTAAATTAGTAGTATATAAAATTTTCACTTTGCTTTCCTATTTAAAAGAATAAAAATGGAAATTTGTTTTACTCTCTGAGGATCAAACTTCTTTCATCAGTATGGCCCAATAATTGTTTATTTTTTTTAAGTTTGCCTGATCATAATCACCAGAGATATATGTTTAAAAGGCTGATAACTAGAACTTTTATTTAGAAGTTCTAATTCAGCCAGACAGTTGTGTACATTTGTCATGTCAGCACTCCAGAGCTGAGGTGAGAGAGCTGAGTTCAGGGTCAACCTGGGCCACATAGTGAGACCTTATTTTAAATGAGGGGATGAAATGACATGAATAACATAACCAGTGCAAGTACTCCACATTTCCTTTTTGGTAGGCACACCAACTTATTGTTGTAATTAAAGTTTGATAGAAATATACTGCATACGGGCTGGGAAGATGGCTCAGTGGTAGAGTGCTTGCCTCACATTCATGAGGCCCTGGGTTCGATTCCTCAGCACCACATAAGCAAAAAGAAAAAAGCCGGAAGTGGCACTGTGACTCAAGTGGTAGAGCACTAGCCTTGATCTGAAGAGCTGAGGGACAGCGCCCAGGCCCCAGAGTTCAAGCCCCATGACAGACAAAAAAAAGAAAAAAAAAAGAAATATACCACATATACAGAAGTTAAGGAATCAAAAGAAAAAGAAATATACCACATATACAGAAGTTAAGGAATCAAATGAACATGAACATTATTTACTATTACTGTTTTTTTGTATATCATAAACACTATTTTTATCCTTTACAACAGCCAAAAGTTAATTTATTTGCTAACATGCTGCCCTTTGTCTTTTTTTTAAGCTGTTTGGTGTGTTTTGGGCTGCCTACAGTGCTGCTTCATTGTTAGTGGGTGAAGAATTCAAGACCAAAAAGCCTCTCCTGATTTATCCAATCTTTTTATTATACATTTATTTTTTGTCTTTATATACTGGAGTGTGAGCCAAGTCATACTTGAGTGGAAAAAAAAATGATGTTACATTTGTGTGTAGGCTGGGAATTCTTGCTGAAGGGATTGAAGAAAATGTTGCTGGTAAAAATTTACACATTCCAGATGTAAAGGCTAAAGGTTTAAGGTCTTTTTAAAAACAATATTTTTTGTATTTAATTAAACAATTAGTTATCTGGGATTTTTTTTGGTCAGAATCCTATATTCTGTTTGATTCTTCATATTCCAGTGAATAAAATATAAAAGCATTGTGTTTTTAACATTGTGTCATATTCACCTAAAAACTTGTGCCAAAAGCACCTGAATCGGTAATTACACTTCACTTGAAGGATAAATCTGACAATGTCCTAATAATCGAAAAGTGCAATTTTTTTTCTTTAAAGAGTTTTCTCCTACATTGCAGATCCTGTAGATAAATATTTATATTTATACATATATATTTATGAAATAATTCTTATTCACAAAATATATTTCTTAATAGCCTAAAAATTAAGATACTAAATCTGATGCTTAAATTTTCTTTAATTTGGCCATTAATATTTTTTATTGAGAATTTTAAATTTGTTTTTTAAATTGTATATCATTTTAAAAATAATAGTTGCTAATGTAGATTTGGTTTGTGTGGATATGCTTTTAAAAACCATTTTGAATGTTTAACATCTGACTTAAAGTTTTTGTTTTATCTTTCTGACCAAAGGAGCAAGAGGTATAATGGATATAGCAGTCATTAAAATCGTTAATATATAGGAAAACAATAATATTTATAGCATCAGTAATATTTTTTAGTGCTATTCCTAAATCAGAAAAATTGCAGGAAAGAGATCTTTAAAATCCTATGGTCCTAAACAATGTTATATGATGTAGAAAATAAAATGTTTTCCAGCTGTGTGTTTTGTTTTATAACACTTTGTCTTGTATTACTTGATACTTTTAACAAATATTAGTTACTGTCTTAACAAATGTACAGTTTTTGCTAAGGAAAGTATCAAGCAATTTTTATTAGTGAAATTGTAGAGGAAAATGTTTCATTTATGTTCATAAAGTAGAAAATCCTGTGGTTTTTATCTGGAAGGATTCACCACTGTCTTCAGTATGGTAATGTTCTTGGTATGTGTTCCTTAGCAAACTTGTTCACCAGCTACATGCAAGCCTAAACTAGAACGGTATCAAGTTCATCTTTCTTCCTTCCTTCTCACACCAAAGCAAAAACGAAAGAAAAGTTTATTTTATTATCTTCTTTGGGGGACTGAGGATCTGATCCAGAGCCTCATACATTCTTACCAAGTACTGGTACCACCAAGCCACACCTTCAAGCCAGAAAAGATAATCACTGGAAAAATGCAAAGCACTTTTGAGCTACCATGTTGAAAATTATAATGCTGTTCTTTTAAAGCAGCATTAGAAAAATGAAGAAGAGCACCAGAGATATTCTAGAACTTAAGGAAGGAAGGAAGGGTCTGTGGCCATAGAAGCAGTAACTGTAATGTAGCGATTTGTCACACTTACAAGATCCCTGTGACCAGTCACTTGTTACCATAGATTAGCATTTCAGAGCTACACCTGTAATCATAGCTACTCAGGCGGCTGAAACCAGCCTGGGAAGGAGAGTCCGTGAGACTTACCTCCAGTTGACTATCAAAAAGCTAGAAGTGAAGCTGTGGCTCAAGTGGTAAAGTACTAACTCAGGGAACAGCGGCCAGGCCTTGAGTTCAAGTCCCAGAACCAGCACCAAAAAGAAAAAAGAAAAAAAAAGCCATGCAAAAGTGCAATTTAGGTCAAGCCCAAGTAGCAGCACCAGGAATAAAAAAGAAAAGAAAAAGGTTCTTCTATAATTGTTGCCACTAAGCAGTTTTCTGTGTGTGTATATCAGTTTGTCTCTGTTTTGGGGCTTCCACTGAGGGTTTGGGTGCTGTCCCTGAGATTTTTTGCTCAAGGATAGCAAGCACACTACTACTTGAGCCACAGCTCCGCTTCCCGCTTTTTTGGTGCTTCATTGAAGATACAAATCTTGAGACTTTCCTGCTTATGGTGGTGGAGCTGGCTTAAATCAAGATCCTCAGATCTCAGCCTCCTAAATGGCTGGAAATACAGGTATGGGTCACAAGTGCCTGGCACTGAGCAGTTTTTAAAACCAAACAACCCCCCCCATCCCAGAAAAAAAGAGGAAGAAAGAAAAAAAATGAAGTGCATAAAATAGTGAAATTATAGAAAATGTCTGATTATGGGGAGAAATTTGTCACCTAATGATAAAGAGGGGGAAAAAAAAGTAGATTGCTACTTATTGAAAAAAATGATTGAAATTTTACATTTTTACTCGTTCATAATGATCCTCCTCAGTTTTGCTATATTGCCTGCCCCTAAAATATATCTTAAAATAACAAGTGCAATTTGATGAGACAGCTTGTATGCTTTATAATTCATCTGCAGAATTGCCAGCTGTGACAATTAGCGTAGTTTCTCCATAAAAAAGTAAAAGTTAAAAAAAAAAAGTAGGGACTGGGAAGGTGGCTCAGCGGTAGAGTGCTTGCCTTGCACGCATGAGGCCCTGGGTTCAATTCCTCAGCCCCACATAAGCAGAAAAAGCCAGAAGTTGCGCTGTGGCCCAATGGTAGGGCACTAGCCTTGAGCTGAAGAGCTGCGGGACAGCACCCAGGCCAAGAGTTCAGGCCCCACGACCGACAAAAATAAAAAAAAATGTAGAGATTTGAGCTGAAGAGCTGAGGGACAGCACCTAGGCTCAGAATTCAAGCCCCATGACTGACAATAACAACAAAAAGAAAGTAAAAGTAGCCTAGGACCATGGCTTACACTTGTAATCCTAGCTATTCAGGAGGGTGAGATCTGAGGATCACGGTTCAAAGCCAGCCCGGGCAGGAAAGTCCATGACACTCTTACCTCCAATTAACCACCAGAAACTGGGAAGTGGCCTTTGGCTCATGTGGTAGAGTGCTTACTTTGAGCAGAAATGCTCAGGGACAATGCCCAGGCCCAGAGTTCAAGCCCCATGACTGACAAAAATATAAAGTAAAAGTAACTGGGTGCTGGTGGCTTATTCCTGTAATCCTAGCTACTCAGGAGGCTGGGATCTAAGGATTGAGGTTCAAAGCCAGCCTGGGCAGGAAAATCCATGAGACTCTTGCCTCCAATAAACTACTCAGGAAAATCCAGCAGTGGCACTGTGGCACAGGTGCTAAAGCACTAGCCTTGAATGCAAAGAGGCTCAGAGAGTGCCCAGGCCCAAAGTTGTGGGAACAGACAAAAATAAAAAGTAAAAGTAAGCTGGTCACTGGTGGCTCACATCTATAATCCTAACTACTCGGGAGGCTGAGATCTGAAGATTGTGGTTGATTCCTTAGTACCACATAAATGGGAAAATCTGGAAGTGGCACTGTGGCTCAAGTGGTAGAGTGCTAGCCTTGAGCAAAAGAAGCTCAGGAACAGAGCCCAGGCCCTGAGTTCAAGCCCCACCGCCACTACCACCACCAACAAAAAAACCATTTTGCTTCCATGAGAATGATTTTGGATGATGTTGGCAGACTGAGAGCAGGTTGTTCTCCCTAATGCCAATACCCTCATCCAGTCAGCTGAAAGTTGGAATTGAACAAGGAAAGGCTGAATCGCCTCTACTTTTTGCTAAATGCCATCAAGTTGGAACATTAAATTTTTTCTGCTTTTGAACTCAAATTGAAACATCAGTATTTGGCTGTCTAGCTAGTCAGTCATCAGATCGGAATATGCCACCAGCTCTCCTGGATCTCCAGCTTCCAGTGCACTATGAAGATCTTGAGACTTCTCAGCCTATATAGTCATAGAGGCCAACAACTCAATAATAAACAACTTTCTATGTCCAATCGAGTCCATTGGTTCTTTGTGAACTCTATATGACTAAGGTACTTCTCCCTATGCGTAGTCTTGAAACATTGACATTGCTAGGTGCCAGTGACTCATACCTGTAATCTTAAATTACTCTGGAGGCTGAGATCCGAGGATTGAGGTTCAAAGCCAGCCCAGGCAGAAAAGTCCCTGTGAGACTCTGATCTCCAAAAAACTCGAAGTTTTGGTGCTGTGGCTCAAGCACTAGAGCACTCACCTTGAGCTGAAGAGCTCAGGGACAATGCTCAGGCCCAGGGTTCAATACCCATGACCGACCCCCCCACACACACACAAACAGAAAAAGGAAAAAAGTACATTTTATGTAGTATTTTAGTGCATTTTGTAGATGATGTGTTTATTGACTTTTAGTAACCTACAGACGAGGAAACTCATTTAAATTTGAGATGATGTGAATAGTTAAAGTTGTATTACCCTAAACACTAAATACTAAAAAATACTAGGCATGATGGTGCACTCCTGTAATCTACACATACCCTCAAGCGGTCAAGCACTTGCCTTGAGCTGAAGAACTCAGGGACAGTGCCAGGCCCAGAGGTCAAGCCTCACTAACAACAACAGCAACAGACATGGGGCTGGGCAGGTGGCTTAGTGGTAGAGTGCTTGCCTAGCATGCATGAAGCCCTGGGTTTGATTCCTCAGTATCACATAAACAGAAAAGGCCAGAAGTGGCGCTGTGGCTCAAGTGGTAGAGTGCTAGCCTTGAGCAAAAGAAGCTCAGGAACAGTGCTCAGACCCTGAGTTCAAGCCTCAGGACTGGCAAAAAAAAAAAAGAAAAACCAGGCTCAGGGACAGCACCTAGGCTCCATGTACAATCCATTCAAGCCCCACCACCAGCCAAAAGGAAACAACTAATACCCAAAAGCACATAACATTGTTTTCTTGCATAATTCATAGTGCTAGAACTCCAATCTAATTTGGGAACATATCAAGCCTTGTATATTTTCATTAGAAATGTTTAAGTCAAGCCAGTAATCCTAGCTATTCTGGAGGATGAGACTTCTAGGATCAAAGTTGAAAGCTAGTTGAAGGCAGAAAAGTCCATGAGATATTTATCTCCAGTTTACTAGTAAAACACTGGGCTGGAGGCATGGCTTGTAATAGAGCACCAACTATGAGCAACATGCTGAGCAAGAGTGCACCAAACTGAGGTCAAGCTCAAACACTGGCAGCAAAATAATTGAAGTCAGAGCATACACTGAGCATATGCATGCATTTTTATCTATATATTAGTGAAATCTCAAAGCATATCTTTCTGTCAACAGCTCAGAAACTAAGTAACATGTCACCTGAAAGCTTGGCTTCACTCACCAATGAATGCTTTTTGGCTACTCACTATTCTGGCACAGATGTGGCATGGCTGATACCAATGGTATTTCCCACCCTCTGGTGAAGTAACACTAGAAGTATAGTCTTTTTTTTTTTTT